ACACACACACACAGACAGAGGTGTGGTTGAATAGTTAGGCTTGTCACTAAGCATTGAGGCTCTTGTACTTAGATGGGAGGAGATCGATACAGAGAGTGGCTGTGAAGTTGTTTATGTCCAAACAACAGTGATGAGAGCTGAACAGAGTTGGTTATTGGATTTTCAGATCCATCTGCATCTGCAGAGACTCAATGAGACTGGTGCATAGTAGATTATGGCTCTTGATATTTCACTTTGGTTAAAGCATTTCATTTTTTTAAGTGCACAAAAGTTCAGACTCAGGTTAAGTCTTTCAACCATTTTGAAGCGCTCTGAAAGCCTGTAGTAGGTATCAACCACTCATGAATGTCTAATTGTCTAAAAGGTTGTTTGATGTAATAAGTGTATACAGATCAGGTCAAAGCACTATTAATAATGAATAATTAGCCCTTTTGGCCTTGTGGGCTTATCAGACTGCTGAGATTTGCTGCATCAGGATAATTCAGTTAACTGCATGAGTACTAAAAACAACAACTTTGTGTTGGTTACCAGTATTCCTTAGGTCTTATACGTACGTACATGGTATACTGTCTAAATCAAACATGTAGAACTATCTGTAAATATTATTGTACTGTAGTGTTGCCATGTCCTTTTGGGTCCAGAGTAATTGGAAAGAAGCCTGCTGACGGTGAACGCATGGTAGTGAAGCCCGTGTTTACAGTTGAGTTGAGATGAGTATTTTTGAGGGACATGCACATTTATGTTTTAACCAATTTAGTCCATTTTAGTTAGTATTTGTATATGGCTACAATAATTATACTCTTTCTTATGCAAGGCTATGTAGTGTTTTTATCCATTTATTTGCCCTTCTTTATTGTTGTAGCTACAACTTTTTTTAATGCAGTAGATTTCCCTTTGATGACCATCAGGTGGCAGCATTGGCTTTTGAAATGCAATTGAACCAAAGGGAGCATTATGCATCACTATAACCTCGTAATAATACCAAGATCATGGGAGCATTTACTGAAAGATTACAAATGAAGATTTTGTGGTGGGTATTAAGTGATGAAAAATGACTCCCAATATTCATGTGGATAAGGGGGTGGGAAAATTGTATCAGTAATTTCTAAAAATGAAGTACTTCTCAAGAAATATTGACACTGTAATGTGGGCAGAGATACTGCTGATAATTCAGAGCCACCCAGGATGGAGGGAAGATTTGTAAAACATGGATTATTATGCTTGAATTATTTTATGTATTTTGGAGAACATTGGCTCTGATGTTTATTTAAACATATATTTGTATATTCTTTTTGTTTAACAGGTGTTTTAGAGTGGTACACTCATTGGTTTATATTTCATGCAGTCTGAAAGGTGGGAGGTAGATAAAGGCGGGGGTACACAGGTGAGATACCTCTGGGTTTGATATGAGGCCCACTGGGGGATTTATGTGGTACTGGGTTTGTCATAACTTAGTACTCCAACACCAAACTTAATTGTGGTTTAGGGGTATTTACACAAAATAATTTTTCTTTACCTTTGTAAGTAAATACCTGTAATGTAAAATATACCTTTCTATGTTTAGTGTATACATAACATTTTCTGGTTTCTTTCTACTGTTTCATTCTGGCAAACCCTGTTCTGTAAGGTACGGTTGATTAAAAAGACAGTATATTTTAAGTAGAGCTTTGAAAGTCACATGACTAAGTACTGGGGCTTCTTGTCTTTCCCATTGAGAGAAAAGAGTGAAAATACTCTAGATTTGCTAGTTTTTCTTGTTCAGCAGGTCTTTTTCTTGTTCAGCAGGTCTTTTTCATCTGTCAACGAAACGTTGACAGATGTTACCCAAAACTACAGCCTCATTTAGCACATTCATTGCTTTTTCAAACCAAACCCTAATGATCCCCACATAACAGGAGTAGCAGTAAGTTTTCATGAGCTTGGATGCACTGATGAGGGACTAAAGACCTCATTAAGTGCAGGCAAAGTGGAAAAAAAAAATTACCTAATAACATGCTAATACCCTACCAAATAACTAAAATAACATTGCTAATGTTGATACAATCTTTCTGGTTGGGATATCTCTTTATGAATGTCGTGAACCACCTGGACTACTTTGATGAAAATCGTTTAATGATTTGCTTTAATGTTGTCACATCTTAAAGTTACTGGTTACTGGTGGCCTAACAGTGATTGGGGTTGATTGCTCAACTACAGGTCCCAGAATTCTGGTGGCAGCGAAACAGACTATTGTCATTTTAATAAAGAAGTCAGGCAATAATTGGCCTTTATAGATCATTCTGTGAGCAATTGAGATCTGATTGCATGCTGCACACGGCATGAGTCTGCGAACAGCAGGGCACAGTGAAAGGAGATGGTTATTAGGCTGAGAAGTTAGAGGTGTGCTGCCTGTCGCCTATAGCTCTTCATCTTACTGTTCATTGTGGCTGCTCCTTCTTGTTCCATTACTCCTTGCAATATTTCTAACTGATATGCTGTCAAAAAATGACCATTTTGTTTTGTAGATGCATTTTTGATGAATGATAGCGGCCTGCACTAATGTCACTGACACATTGCATTCCCTGTGACTACTTCAGAATAAAAGTCAACTTGTGTTTCTCCAGTGAAATGCTTTTAATGTGAAGGTGTAGTATCAGGAAATGTTCGGTTTGCATTAGAAGTAACATAACACAGCGTTTTATAGAGGAATGTTGCCACAGACACACAGTTTGTAATTCTGCAAATATATAAATATTGCAGTACTAACTAATAATCAGTGGTCCATAGGCTCAATCACCATTTTGTTACATCATTTGGAGATAGATGGTGACTTAGCAGACATTTATTTAAATGAAAATCTTCCAAATTATTACTTTAACTCTATTTTTAATTAGTATTTTATGTTTCTTTTCCTCTGTTTTTGTTGTACCTGTTAGATATTAATGAGTGTCGTATTAAAACTGTTCATCATAATGACATGTTTGGACCAAAAGTTTAATTCCAATAGTATTTTTCTCTATTAGGAATACACACAGAACAAATACAGAACATTATAATTATTCATTATTATTTTGTCAAATGTATATTAATTTAAGTTTTGGGGTTTTGCTTTTTTTCTTCAGGATGTTTTAAACAACCTGGGCTCCTCAGAACTAGATGAAGATGATCTTATGTTAGACCTGGACCTCTCTGACGATCAGCGACATCGACACGGTAACTTTTTCACTTCAGATCACCTGAAGTCTTTATGGCAAGTGCGTGGTTGGAGGACAGGGCATGGGAAGATACAGATGATACACAGACATAGATTTCCTCCCATTCATTGTGTTGCTGTTTCTCTAGAAAGAAGTTAAGCATTCTTAGAAACTAAGCATTCAAATGAAGAGGGAATCTGTAACATACAAACTTGCCTTTTATCTATCCCTCCTTCTACTCAAGTGAATGTCTGCTCATTTTTTGTGTCATTCTTTTTTCCTTCTTTCTTGCTTTCCTCTTGTTGCTGTCTTTCTCTCTCTCTGTGTTTCTCTTCACTCTCTGTCTCTCTTTTTCCTCATTAAGCCACCTCCATTCCATCACCTTAAAACATGAAACCAGTACTCTGGCTGTTTCTTTTAACATGTGCCACGACTTTGATGTAGCTGCCTCATTTACAGCGATTTATCTCCGTTGTTGTTTTGGCATTTCAGTGACACTCCTCCTGACATGCCTCATGGTTGAAAAGTGACTGTCAGAGGAGAATTATTGCTTGTGTTCTGCCACAGTGCAGCAAGGAGTGCCAAACATAGTAACCTCAACCTCCTTTAATGTGAGGAAATCTTTATATTAAAAAAATGAAGGCGTCTGTAACCACACCGAACGTGGACTTTTTTGTTAATTCTTAATATGTTCATGAAGAAGGTATTTACTATTTCGCTGTTGTGAGTAGATGTACTGAAGCGAAGTGATTGATTGCATTTGCAAGCACTATTCTTATTTAATCATTCCTTGCAGGAACATTATTGTAATTGGGGAAAAATTGCAAGCTCTTGCAAATACTGTCAGTATTGATTATGTTTTTGGTGATCTCAGATTGCATATATTTGCTTTGTATTAAATAATACACTGTAAAGGGCCAGTGTGTAACATTTAGGATGATCTATTGACAGGAATGTGATATAACACTCATAGGTATGTTTTTCATTAGTGAATAATCACCTGAATATAGGAATCGTTGTTTTCTTTTCTTACAATGAGCTGTTTTTATCTGCAGACACCACAGGTCACTTTCCATAGAGTCGACCATTATGGCACTGATCGAAGTCAATACTTCTGATTATCAAAAGGTCTTGTCATTCATTACTCAATTTTGGTAATAAACTGTATACAAATTAATCAGCGTCCAGTATATAATAATAATAATAATATAGTCCAGTACTGTACAGATATTCATTTTTTTCATTTTAGTACAGTGATCCAGGCTGAATAAAGTGCGCAGAGTAAAAAAAAAACAGTTTTTCCAGCTGCTCCCAAGTCTTTGAACAGCTTCACTCTTTGAAGTGAGTAATTACATGTAGGGATGGGGATCGAAACCC